ATTTTTTTTATTTATTGTAGAGATGAGGTCTCGCCAAGTTGCCCGGGCGAGTCTCGAACCTGCGGGCTCAGGCGATCCCCTCACCTCAGCCTCCCAAGCCGCGGGATTACAGGCTGAGCCACCGAGCCCGGCTTTATGCATGTTTTTAATTTCCTCATTCCTTTTTAGTGGACACTTGGTTTGTTGCTCATTTTTCTTGTTATATTCAACGCTGTGATGGATTCTTGGCAGCATTGTTCTCGCTCCCTATTGTATCTTCATTGTCTGTCCTTATGGACACACTAAATTTTTCCTGTTTATCTTATAGGCTAGCTTGCATATGTGTAAGCCTGTGTGTGTGTGTGTGTGTGTGTGTGTGTGTGTGTGTGTGTGTGTGTGTGTGTGTGTGAAAATCTTGTATTGGCCAGGCAATCTAAGCATTTGACTGGAGTAGTTCTCATCTATCTTCAAGGTGTCTTGCCATGTGTGAAGACGTGTCTGATTTGAGATCGCAGCTGCCGGTCTGTTTGTCTCTGCCTTTTGTTTGACCCCATTTCTGTTCAGCTTCCCTTTCTGCTTGTCCACGCCATGTATTGTGCACCTCATTCGTTCCAGTTCACCACCCACTTAGAATTTGGCAAACTAATTTACAGTTGCTAAGCCAGGCTGTTCAAGGAGTTGATTGAAGCAAAAATTCGTTCTGATGTACGCCCCCCCCAGTCACAACAATCAAAGTTTCAGAAAGTTATTTCCAAGTCTTGGCATTAAACTGCTTGGGAGGGCAACCTTCCTACCCTACCCCTCCTCAAAGATCAGATGATACTGATTTCAAAACCTGCAAAAAAGAAAAAGGAAAGAAAGGAAAAAAAATAGTGGAAATTTCCTGAGCATGATTACCAGAACAGGAGAGAAAGAAAAAAGACTTGAAGCAGTGAAAGCCTAAGTCAAACAAAATAAAACACCTAAAACTCTTTTGGTTTGGAAGTGTGAAAACAAAAGAGAAATAAGCCAGTGTCAGTCCCCTGTAGGTGCATGGACCCAGATCTGACCCACTTTGGGGTGGTATCAAGAATGGCATTTTGAGCCGGGCATGGTGGGTCAGCCTGTAATCTCGCGCCTTGGGAGGCTGAGGTGAGTGGATTGCCTGAGCCCGCGGGTTCAAGACCCGCTTGGCCAACTTGGCGAGACCTCTTCTCCACAATAAATCAAAAATTAGCCGGGCATGGTAGCGCGCGCCTGTAGTTCCA